TCTTTTCTTTTTTTCTTCTTCTTTCTTATCCGTAGGTCGACACAATCGAGAAAAGAAGATTGTTCTTCTTCTTTTTTTTTTTGATATATGACGGTGAGTAAATACGGATCGATTGATATTCATGGTACGAAATCTTACTTATACAAATTATAACTTGATACTATCGATAAATGTTTCATTTTTATTCTCTAGATAAAGATAATGTTTAGTTCACCAAGATTAACTCGGACATCTATGGATAAAATGACAGCTGCAAAACGTATTCTTGATGAAAAATGTCATACTATTGAACAATTACAAACTATTATTGATGAATTAAAATTTCAACATGACAAAAAAGAACATGAATTAGTTAAACATATTGGAATATTATATAATGATTTACATCAAAGTAAAAAGAAGATGGCACATTTAATTTTTAAATATCAACAACAGAAAAAAGTATAATTATTTAGTCGAATTACTTCTTTTTTTTTAATCGATTGGATAAATTTATTAGAAAGAGAGAATGAAAGATGATTTTTATCAAATGATGAATCTTTTTTGATCACAGTGCACTAATATAGATTATCGTCTTACTGAATGAATGCACATTTGATTTTTTAAATATCGATCAAATACTTTTTTGAAGACAGCTGAATTATTTAGCTAAGTTATATATGATGAAAGTTAATATAATGAAACACCCTTAGGCTACCAGACAAATGCTATTGCATTAAAAATAAAGTTAAATCACGTTTATTTTCTTTTTAAGCTTCTTTGATAGATTAAACGCGTAGAAGTGATTACGTATTATTAAAGAAGCTGTACAAGTGTATCTAACGGCTCTTTTTTTTTAATAGACACCATTTGTTTTGATAAACTTTATATTAACTTTTCCTATTTATAGTTTATTGAGAATATCAAACCAGTAAAAGATTTTGCAACACAAACTGATGAAATAAATTCTTCTTTAATATGTCCAAATTGTTCAACACCATATCAAAGACCAGCATCTCCAAAGAAAACATTAGAAAAAGTTTGTACATACTTAAATATTAAACTCATTATTAAATAAAAATATCCTTCTAGCATCCTAAATATTATACTCTACAATTAGACAACAATCTTGAATATATATCCGCTACACCTCAAGCTCCATCCGATCATTCATTATCATCGCCTTCTCTATCGACAACCGATCAATCATCAATAAAACATAATGAAAGTAGTTCAAGTGCATATAATACAGCTGACAGTTTACCAAGTAGTGCATACTCGGATGAAATCGAATCCCTTGAACGTGTCTTAAATGCTGCATGCACAATGTATACAACACATGATAATCTTGAACATACAATAAAATTACAAGAAGAATTATTTCGACAACGTTTACGTTTACGTGGAGTTAATCTTAATGATAATGATGAAGTATCAAGTGAACATTTTTATGATAATATTGATGGTGAAACAAGTGATATTGAAAAACAAACAGTAATAGAACAACAAAATCGTACATTACCTTGGTATCAAAGAAAACAACAACGAACTGTAACATTTAATTTACATAATGATGAACAAAATAAAATAAGAACGATACCAAATAAAGTTCGATTTAGTGATCAATGTTATCCAATAAATAAACGTAAAAGTTTTCGATCGTCATCGAAAACAAATCTTACAAAATTATCGAATAATAAAAAAAGTGTTTGTCAACAATCAATAATGGCAAATAAAAAATTATTATTATCAAATATGTTAACTGTGACAATAACTTAAGATTTTTCTTTTCTTTTTTTGTTTCTTCAAAATGTTGTAAAAGCACTTTCTTTCTAATTCGACAAAAAATAACACACAAGTTATTTAAATATTCGAGGTTTAAACGAGTTTCTCCTTTTTTATATTATAAAGTTTATATGTTTTTTCATATAACAAAAAAAAAGAAAGATGTGAAGCATACAAGTTTATTATGTAAGCAATAATCGAATATGAATGATTGTTATTGTTTATATTGACTAGCAAGATCGGTTTTTAATTTATATACCAAATATTAATCGAGAAAGTACATAATTATTTCGAACAAAAATAAAAAAAAGAGGCAATTCAAGCTTTCGTGTTTTTATCTGGAGCAGAGTGTGAAGTAGAATTTGAAATGTTGGAGTAATTTGTAACGTGATGGTAAGAATGAAGTATGTATATCATTGTTGATATGATCTTAAGATAAGAAATAATAATTAAAAAAATGAAATTTATATATGATGGTAATTATATATTGTAAATTTCGTTTCTTTTTTCCTTACGAACATTGATAAATAAAATACGCTATTGAAATTACAGTTAATCATTACCGAGATCTTATAATTGTTACAGATGCTTAACTACAATCTATTATAACAATCTGAATCTAGTTGTGTCTAAATTCCATTGAATTATAAAGTAAATAGTTGAATGATTAGTTGTAAATGAAATAAATGTCTATAAATACTTGGGATTTGCTTCTAATATAATAATAAAAGTAGACGTAAACAACTTAAAATGTCGCGATTTTAACTGGCATATAAAATAGTGATATACGAGCTCCATGCAACTCATTAATGAAAGACGCCCTTTTACAGATAAAGACAAAACAACAATACGTGATCGATGAGAAATAAGAACTGAAGTATATAGGATAATTATTAATCGCTTGCTATTTGATATTTAGTAAACTTAATAGAAAAAGAGATCAAATCATATTTAATCATTATTAAATCACATATTATTTTCAAGTTAATAAAGCGATATCGTTTACATCATTGATATATATATATATTTGATATCGAATTGAAATAGGAGATCTTCATGAATAATTTGCACCGTGTGATCAAAGTTTCCATTGATTCATTCACACCTTTTTATGTGTATATAAAAACACAACAGCATTCAAGTGCAGGTTCTTTTATTCTCTTGATGTGCTCATATCTCGTTTTCTATACTTTTCTTTTTCATATTTTAAATCGTTTACTAAAACAGAAAAAGAAATTCATCTTTTATTTCTTTTCAATACAGCGAACGCATACTATACTGCAATTATTAACAAAATTTTAAATTCAAATCATATATCACAATGAACATGATCAAAAGGATCATTTTTGAAGTACTAATTGCTCTTATCTTCATAAATATATCGATTGGTGAATATACTTTTCTTTAACACAAAAGATTGAATAGAATGTATTCATTCTATATGTTAAAGGACAAAACTGTCAACAAGATGGATGTTCACCTGGCTTTTGCTGTTCGGATTGGGGATTGTAAGTTATTCATCTGTTGCGAACAGTAGTACTGTTTATGCATCAGCTATCTAGCTAGTTTATTAATATTTATCTTTAATTGTAAGTTGTGGAGACACATCACTTCATTGT